CAGGACACATAGGAATTGAGGGGAGGACGGGGGGTGCGGAGAGTAACATAGAAATTTATTTTTCTAAGAAAAGATTTTCTACTCTCTAACCAAACACTAGAAAACATTTTCCGAAAAATGTTTTCCACTCACTAACCAAACATGAGAAAATAAATGATAACACCATTCATTTTCCATGAAAACATTCTCAAGGGAAATATTTTCCCATTTTCTCATGTTTGGTTGACACAAATAGTTTGGAAAACATTTTCCCATTCAATTTATTTTCCTTCAATTAGGGGAAAATGTTTTCCCTAAAATTTGAAGGGAAAACATTTTCCTAAAACAAAACGCGCGATCTGTCTTCTCCCTTCCCCCGCCAAAATCGCTAATTCCCAAATCAGTCTCTTTCTTTCTCCGATTTCTCTCTCTTCATTCTCCGACTTCTCTCCCTTCTCTCATCTCGCTTCACTCCGATTCTCTATATCCAGTCTCGAATTTTAAGATCTTCACCATCGCACCAAAACGCCCAGCTTGCTGTCTAAAATCTCCCTCAATTTCGTTCTTGGGATCTTGATTTTAGGTAACGCACGCCCCCTTTCCTGCGTTTGTTTTAGGGTTTTAAACTTTTCTTCAGTTCCTTCTATTTTTGCTTGATGAACTGATGAATAATAGTCTAATGCTCTGCCTGATATCCATTGCAATACAAGAGATTAATTCACGAGTTAAAATTTTCAATATTTAGAATCCTAAAATGTAATTTCTGACCTGAATATAGTCAAAATTGGTACATCTTCAGTTAGTTTGGTTTATCTAAGTATTTAGAACTTTTGGTAAATGTTCTTCATGTTGGGATCTGATTTTGTTTGTTCATGATCCACTTTCTTGTTGTTTTTGATGCTTAATATAAATTTCTGTATGATATCAAGTTCTATGTCCTCTTTTGTCTTTCAAGTTATGAAACAAAACAATGTAGTACTGGAAGTTAATGTTACCTATCAAAACACAAGTGATGAACTTGGAAGCTTTTCTAGCTAGGATACTGTTGATCAAGAAGATAATATATGATTCAAGTTCAATGAAATTTTAGCAATATGGCTTCACTCACAACTTGGAAATTAGATTGTTGTGTGGTCAGATGAGCTTATATGATGTGCAATGTGGCTTTTCTTTTATGCTCTCTTTAATGTTTTATCAATCCGTTTTTATGAGTAGAAGTTCTAAAGTTGGGTTGCAACAGATGGATTCGATTGAAACTGACGAAGATGATGCAATAGTTGGAGCGGCAGCCACATCTGTCTTAGCTGTGGGGCTGCAATTATTTTAGCCTACTAAAATCAAAGTAACATTCCTAGGGCACCTTATACCAACAAAGACCAAGAGAGGGAATTTTACATGAATAACATTTTTAGTGGAAGTACTGTTCATTGTGTAGGCCAGATAAGTATGAGCCAACCCATATTTTTTGAATTGTGTAATGCTCTTAGAAGAAATAATTTCTTGAGATCAACCAAAAATAGGTCCGTGCAAGAACAAGTACTAATTTTCTTAGAAATTGTTGGTTTTAATGAACGATTTCGCAAGTTAGGGTCGCATTTTTATAGGTCGATTGAATCTGTTCATCGATGTTTCCACGCCGTACTTCAAGCAATTTTGAAGCTCTATCCAACACTTGTGAAATCACCGAATGATACTATCCAGTCGGAGATAAGCAACAACCATCGTTATAACCCTTGGATTGCAGTGAGTAACATATTAAATATTAAGTTTTTAATTAATTTTTAATATTGGTATATATTTTTTACTTTAATTATACATATAGGACTGTGTAGGAGCAATAGATGGCACACATGTGCTTGCATCTGTTCCTATCGAACACCAAAATAGGTATCGTGGCCGCAAAGGCAACACAACACAAAATGTCTTGGCTGTTGTCAGCTTTAATTTGAAGTTCACATATGTGCTTGCTGGTTGGGAAGGATCTACTCATGACTCTCGCATATTAAATGATGCATTGGAGAGACCACGGGGGTTTCAAGTCCCCCAAGGTATCTTATTCAATCTAAAGTAGTTCATAAAAAGAAAAAAATAATTATGTATATTAATTAACTTTGATTTTGCTTCGTAGAAAAATATTATCTTTTGGATGCGGGATATGGTCTTCGTAAGGGGTTTATTCCTCCCTATCATGGAGTACGCTATCACTTACAAGAGTATAGTGATCTTCCTCCCCAAAATGAGAAAGAATTATTCAACCTTCGTCATGCATCATTGAGATCTGTTGTTGAACGTGCTTTTGCTATTCTCAAGAGACGATTTCGTGTGATTGATAACGAACCATTTTAGGACTTTAAAACACAAGTGGATGTGGTGCTAGCATCGTGCATTTTACATAATCACATAATCGATTTGGAGCCAAATGACCCAATAATACAAGAAGTAGACAGGCAACCACTAGTTCAAACACAAAATGCTCAAATTACTCAAAGTTCTCAAAGGAGTCAAACCTATCAGACACCTAGAGAAAGACGTGAAGAAGCTAGGGAATGGTCATTGAAAAGAGATGTTATTGCTCATGCCATGTTTATAAACTATGATCGCAGGAGGAATAGATGAATTTAGTCTATCAAGAAATAGATTTTTTATAGTCATCTTAGTTTAATTGTTTGTGTTTCCATATGCTCTTATGTGTTTTATCTCTATATATCTTAAATTTCATATTTGACATGTTTTCTATAACAGTTAACAATGGTAAAAAAAGGAGATAAATAGTTTAGGTGGTCAAAACTGATAAGTTAAGGATTTTAACGTGTTTATGCCTCTACTTGCCTATGCTTTGAATATAAATTGCTACAAAATAGTCCCAAAATGCTCACAAATTGTGCTTGATTACAGGTTTGATCGACAAAGTAACGAAATATCATAGATCGGCTAAAAAAAGAGTGAAACCTGCTCAAGTATCAAAGACCAAGAGAATTGAAGAAGATAGGGCCTAGTGCGGACCGCACAAGTGACCGCGACCGCACTAGGAGGTTCAGAGATATGACATATTCAGGCTTATCGTCACGCGACCGCGGTAGGATTTTCGCGGTCCGCGATGAAGCTTTGCGGCCACACTTCTGCTTTGTACGGTCCGCGTTCGTATGGTTCAGAGAGTTGGGCAAGGGACCAAAACCATGCCACGCGGTCTACGTACTATTTGTGCGGACTGCGCCAGACCCTCTATGCGGCCGCGCTGCACTTTCACCCGGTCCGCGTCTTCCAGTTTAGAGAACTTAAAGTTGAGGTCAAAAGAGCCAGTACGGTCGGGGTTGCTTTTGTGCGGCCTGCACTGACCCCGCAAGGGTATTTTTGTCCAATTTTTCCAGCCCACTATAAATAAGACATTTTACCATTTTTAGGTTATGTTTTGTATTCAGAAACGCAGCTGAGCTCGTAAGACCGATATTGTAGCCATTTTTTAGCATTTTTGCTTCCCATTAACAATAGATTATTGTAGTTTCTTCTTAGTAATTAATTAATATGT